GAACCCTTTGGTCAGTTAAATTAGGTGAGCAATCATTTCTTTTCTTTTCTTTCTTTCTTTTTTTTTTTTTTTGGCCTTTTCTTTTTCTAAGGTACAACCCGCCGTTAGGAAAATTTAATTGGGTATATTTAGTCAAAGAAATGGAAATAATATTTTCAATGAAAATAAAAATCTTTTCGTCAAAGAATGGCATGCAATTGAATGTATAGTCAACCCAAATAGGACACATCTTCGACCGTTGGTAAAGAAAAGGAGGGAGTGGGACGCAAAAAATTCAAAGCGAAGGGGGTCCCAGATGAGATTAGTAGAAAATCGAAGCACTTGTTTTGTTTCCCCAAATAACTTCCACCGTATCACGTGCACCTTACAAATTTTTCATATGTGGTATATGTCAATGTAATGTAATTCATGCGCAAAACAGGCCATTAATATTTTGTAAGGTACGTGGAGAGAACATGTTGTAGGAGGCTACAAGCTAGCAGAGGGGGGAGAGCCGGGGACTACATGAATGTTGTCCGTTAGTAGAAAATGAGAGTCTAAGGTTGCCAAAAGTCATACATACATGGAAGGACCAAAGGGTAATGATACCAATTTTTTTATGTCTTGTCTGAGGCCACGCTTGTTCTCACGTTTAAGGTCTTATGGAATGTATGATGCAGTGTGGAAAAAGACCAGCCATTACAACATCTGAAAAGTCGTGAGGACCAAGGAAAAAAAAAGTGCAGTCTATGGCATTTGGCCGTTTTGGTGGGTCAAGTATAAGAAAACAAAAACTAAATATTTGAAGTTAGAGCTGTTCAAAAGAACAAGAAATATAGTTAGCGATGACAATATATATATAAATATAAATATATATATGTCTAAGCCAAAGTTTTATAGGATTCCCTTGTAAAATCACCATGTACTGTTAACCCAAAGATAAGATCAATGTTATCCTTTGGAATAAATTTGTGGTGGCTATCTTCGGACTTGAAAATTTTTGTAAGAATTGTTGGCGGAGTACAATTGAGACATTGGGGGGTCAAAAAGTTTGGCCCCGTGATCAGTTATTCCATTTCTCACCTAAATTTTATGTCGACATCATCGGCGTGGATCCATAAACTAGCTGTATTTGATTTTGCAGGGACCTGTTTTCCTTTATCTTTATTCTCTTTGCTTGTTTTGAGTTCAAATCTAGTTCACACACCTCTAAAATTTTCCGGTATCAATTCCCACTCCTCTACCAACCAGTTCCTGATTAGGTGCCATATATTTGTCAGGCCAAAGAATGTTTCCCAAACCGTAGATAAACTTTAACATCGTGTTAAGGCTTTAGGCTGGCACACCAAATATATCAGGATCTATGGGAACAGATTTGATGTTGCATCTATCAAATCCATGCGATATCCAAATGTTCATTGAATTCATTCATTTTTTAACCCAAGTTGTAAAAATCCATCACAAAGGTGTCGCTTTTCGAATCAGATTGTGTTTGCGATTTGCATGATTATAGAACACCTAACATCCTGCATATTCAATCTGCAAATTATGCATATCTATCTATCTCTATGTGTTAAAGAGTTCGTTGGGTGTTTCAAGACATTCTTAGTTGTATCCTTCCAAGCATGCATTCATTTCATTTCAATACAGGTTTAGTCTAACTAGTGAACAGGTTGAGTTTGGCATGAGAAAGTATATGCATATATAGGTTCACACTGCTTTTAAGCCAAAACAAAGATTAATTCGTTATTCCAAAAAGCATTAGTCCTTGGTCTTAAAAGAATCTTAATACCATATATTTTATTTTTCTCATAATAAAAAGTGAGAAATTCCAACACCTTTTGCACTCCAGTCATTGATTTTATTTTGTTGAATAAACTACTGTGCTTTGCTGGGGCAGCTCAACAAATATTTCAAACAGAACACTCTAGTTGCTATACTTTATTATTGTCGTTTTAGTATCCATAAGTCCCATGCACGCTGCATTTTGAGCAAGGTTAAAACTACAAATATTTCGTGTCTTGAGTTACATGTGCTTGCAGAAAACTTTGAAATTTTTGTTACTTTTTTGTCTTTCATTTGGTGTAAATATACAGAAACATAACGAGTCACACTACTATAGCAGTAATCAATCTAATGATGACAGTAAATCCATCCCAGAATGTAGGAAGTAAAAAACAACTGCGGATCGACTTGCAAATTTAACAAAGGTAGATAGCTAGGACACTTTCCTTCAACTATATAAGTAATTTCAATGAAATGAAGGTCAATGCACTGGCATGAGGCAGAATCAACAAGAATCAAATAAAAGTCGCAAAGGACAAAAATAATGTGATCTACTAGCTAGTTCTTTTATGTGGATAAGCACCATGAGCAGGCAACACCATGTAATTTACCTTACAAAATCTTTTATTATATGCAATAAAATAAAATAAAAATGCATAGGGGCCGGCACAAAATCACTGTAATAGTTTTCTTAGGAGGAAATAGGATTAAATTAACAGCGATGCAATCAATACTTCTTTTTCATGATACAATTTTATAATGGGAAAAGAGATGTGGTTAAATTACTATATATCCTAGCCATTATTTAAAAAGCAGGAAGAAGAAAAAATAATTGTACTAGTGAAGTATTGTCAGCAAGATTTTCTCTTGATTACAATGGTAAGATCCTGCCTGGAGCTTGACATGAACAAAATCAGAAAAAATGATTTGATGACACTGACCTTTGAAGGCTCTTATTAACATTAGCAACAAAACCCCAAAGTCATAAGGTTATGCGTTGATATAATAATTAAGATTTGTTATGAAAGTTGAAAACTTTGATTGGGTGTGAGAGCTTTCTTTTGGTTTCCTTTTTTTTTTTTTGGTTTTTAACTTGTACAGCCATCCCATGTTTTGATGATCTCATGGGAGGGAATAATTTTTATTGGGAGATAACATCATTGAGAGTGAGTGCCTTGATGCTTAAGCAAATCTTTTAGGTCCAATGTCCATTATCCACTAATCAAAAGTGATTAGGGCCTCATTTTTAATGTTTTAACCGACAAAATGTTTATAATCTTAAGGCAAAATTATGATACGATAAGATTCCCTTGCATGCCTTGTAGACTGCTTTTTTAACTCGTTGTCGACTTCATTTGCTCTCTTTCTTGTGCTTTGAAACAACTCCAAAAATCAAGCCCATCCCAATTTCTCAAATCCTATATGCCTTATCTCATCATACCTCTACCTTGTCTTAAGTGTTGTTGTTGTTTTGGTGGTTACATGATCATTTGGTCTTTTTGTCTTCTGGTATGCGGTGTTTTGTATTTGGATCGTGTGGCGCACGTGCAATACGATGAATATATTATTTTCAAAGAGTATGATCAGCAAGGAAAGGGAGAGAGAAGGTAGAAATATTGGATCATTTTTTGTGCGGTGAGGGGGACAAAGGGGGACTCTCTTTAATCATTCTTCTCTTGGCCCTAATCACTCTTTTTGAACTACAACTTTAATGTTACACGCTCTTTCTTTCTCTTGGGAGGTTGCAAAGCATGGGGAGGGAGTGAGGGTCGATCTTGATATATAATGGCATCATGAGTTTGACTTAATATCATACAGTTTTTCAACTGTTTAGTGGACTTAGAATCTTTCACAGCAACTCTGTCTGTCTGTATCTCTCTCATCAGCTTTTAACTTGTTGAAGCAAAGTATATTTGGTTGATTGTTTCTTCGCAAGAATTTTCCTTATCAAACAGTACTTGTTGTTTTTTGCTGCCTAATTATTCTGTTGGTTATGAGGGCAAATGAGATTTCTTTTTTACAAGAAATTAGTGGTACGTACGAAAGTGCTCAAAGGGCCATACACAATTCCATCAAAGCTTTATTTTATTTAATTTTATTTGGAGTTTTGTTCTAAGCAAAAGATACATATTGGAGAAGAAAGAAGAAAGAAAAGACATCCCTTAGAAGATCTTTATAAAATAAAAGATCAAAAACATGGGGGCCCCTCTTGGTCCTTTATTGCCCTGCCCTGGTTGGTACAAAAAACACAAAGCATGGCCAACAAGAAAAATCATGCTCTTGTCACAAAGAGAGTGGCAGAAATGACTTACCACACATCTTCAAAAATAAGTGATCCAAGCCATGCCACTGCCCTCACTCATCACTTTCTCCTCTTTTATGTATATGCATATACATGTATTTTTTTAAGTTTCGGTCCCCAAAGGGAATCCCATGAGCCCCATTATGGAGATTTTCGGTTTTATCAAACCGTGCAAGCATTAAAATTTGCAGTACAAGTTCCACGATCTACAACACAATACTGTAGAAAGTGGACTCTCCCATAGCCCTCTTTTGACTAGCGTAAAAGCTTTACCTTGACTGCAACCAGTCGTCTCTTCTGTGGCATCAATTTATTATCTCAATGTGAGACGCTTCTCCTTAATAGCTTAAGTCCAAGATTTGATATCATGAACGTGTTACTTTTTTCTAAATTCTAACTAACTTCGCTGCTTATTTTATAACAAGGAAGTATTGAATTCATCCAAAGGATTTGACTTTTTTTAGTCACAAACACATGCTTCTTTAATTCATTGATTCTGGTTTATTTCAAATTTAAAAATTTACAAGCACATGAACGTGTAACACAAAAATATTCAACATATATATATATATAAATATATAAATATTTTGACAATAGAATAGAAAGTTATATACCTATTTACCCATGTACGACACAACAAAGAACGGAATGACGCTGTTTCGGTGATTGGAAAGGGTCGGTTCTGTACACAATATTAAACACATTTATAATCACAAAAGTTATATTCAGAAGTTTTAATTTGGAATTAGAATTTTATTTTTTAAATATTTGGATTTAAAATTCTTGAAAGTCGAAATTCAATGTTTGGATGATTATTGGATTTGAAATTCAAGATTTTAAACACGTAATTTCCAAATTCTAGATTTGGACTTCACCAAACAATGGATTTGGATTCCAAATCCAAATCCCTTCCCTGGAATTCAAGATCTCAAGCGACCCCAAAGAGAAACGGATATATATATATATAGACGCTCACCCTTGTCCAGACTCCACAACATTTGGCAAATTACATGATCAAACTTCAAAATCCCCTTTTTTAAACTAAGCTCTTTTCCCATGAAACTCTCTCGCTATATGCTACCTGAACATCGGTTGACAAGTATACAATATTATTTTGTAGATTATAAACATTTGAGAGAATAAAAGATATAACTGCAAAAAATTGACACAGCGTAGCCAACAAGGAATTTTGAGAAGAATGCGACTATCTCTTTATCATCAACCTCATCAGTTATGACATGCTTTGTTTCTTCAACTTTGATGAGATCAGATGTCCTGATCTTTGACTAGCAGCCTTCAGTTTCTTCTTTCAGATCTGATGATGATCTAGGTCTTTTACTACTTCTATTAGCCGCATCCTTCGCACGTGGTCTTTGCACAAGAACAGGAACCAACACAAACCCAAAAAAAATCCAAATCAAAGAATTAACAAACTGATCATGAGACTTAAGCCCAGCAGATTCCAAAGGCACCAAATTATTACAAGACACAAAAGAAACATAAGACTCCTTCATGTATTCACAAAACTGAAGTTCTCTGGTATTGAAGACAAATATTAAACTAATTCCTTGTGTAGGACAGCTTTCCACATTCTATCAAAGTTCCATATTATGAGCTCCAACATCTTTTGGTTGTAACTTAGGGTTCATGTTAACTAAGGCTCCCTTCGAAAAACCAAAATTGACTTCTAAAACAAAATTATTTTCAGTATGAAAGCATTTTCCAACAAGTATTTTCTTGTGTCCACCATTCACCAGAAAACTTTTATCATCACTGTCCAGTGCTACTATTGTAAGCACATAACTAACAGCCAAACATTTTCTAAATCACCAGTCACAATCTTGAGCTGCAGCAGATTTACAGAATATAAATTCTTAAAAAAAAAACAGTAGAAAATCTTCTCCTATTTACATCACCATTGCCATCTTCCACTCAAAAAGAAATCATGCAAAAAATTACTCAATTTGAACTCAAATTTCGGTTGCAGTCAACCATAAAATCTCAATATATACCCATCACCCAAATTGACATAAATCCAATGAAAAAATGAAGCTCCTCTTGTTAGTTTATGTGATTGTGCTCTAAGAATTTTTTTTTATTATTAAAAAAAAGGTTGAAATGAAGGAGGTTTAGGGGTCTGGAGGGCTGCTTTAAAGCAAAGAGATGAAGGAATACTGTGACCTCCAGGTATTGCAAAACTGTCACTGGTAAGCCTAACAGCGATGGTGCAGGAAGCAATGGTGAGGGAGACGAGTAATGTGAGAAATAGCCTTTTGAGAGAGAAACAAGTGGAGGGGCACTTGTCGGAGGAGGAGAAGCAAACAAGGGAGAAGGAAAGGGAGATCAGAAGATGGGAAGGGAGGAAGGCGAAGCGAAAGGACGTAGCGTGGGGGTTTGCTGGCATTGGGTGAAGAAGGTTGGGGGTTTAGGTGCAAAGGCAAAGAACCTTTGGCTCTTGGATATTGTCTTTCGTTCTAAAACAATAGAAGACAATTTCCTTAATTTGGGCCTTTTTGCTGTTGACCAGAAATCCACTTCTGGTTGACCATGTCAATTTTTGACATCCAAACATCACAAAATGAGGAAAATGGCTTCCGGAAGCTATATTTCCTGGTTATCAAATGAAACCTAACATTATTTCGATTGTGACTTCTGCAATATCCTTCTCAGATTTCTAGGTAACATTAAAACAAAACTAATTTATACTTCATCATAAACCCAACTGCTAATTACCATAGTGAAGAAGATGCTGACTATTGGTACAAAAATCTTGGATGCACTCTTAATGAGGAAATTTAAAACTAAATTCTAAAGGATAATCTTAAACATACCTTTTGCAAAATTCTTTTCTTGTATTAATAGCAATACCTTCCTTTAGCTCTTCAATGCTCATCATACCATCAAGCTTAGATTTTAATAGATTGGAACTATCAATAAATGCAGCAGACTCAGCCACACCAGAAACAATTGATGAGTCCTTAACCTTTTCTTTGAGATATTCCATCAAAATGAATCCTGAAAAAAGTTCAGAAGAACTAGTCAGCGAAAAATTTTCAGAATTTAAGAATCAAGATCAACGATATGTATAATGGAATAACAAGCAAAATCCAGAGGCTAGATTTGTAACAGAGAGCAGAGAAACTGAAATATTGCAAGGGCCCAGAGAACAGAGATGCAAAAGTGGTAAATATACAAGGGTCTAGGATTAAAACCTACTACATTCTCACCAAAAGCACTGCAATATGCCATCCAAAATCGCCGAGCAAATAAAGCGAAAAAAAAAAGAAAAAAAAAACTTTTAAAAGCATCTCCAAATGTTGGTTCAACTGTAAATCCCCTATGTGAAGTTTAAATACAAGACAAGAGTGCTGCTCCATAATCAGTGCCTAAACTATTCCTAGCTTATGAATCTCATGTGGGTAAACAGAAAAAGATTTAGGCCATATAGATCTTCTGAAATTCTAAAATGTGATCGCACTTGGATTGTGCGAGTCCCCAACAAGTCAAACACAAGAACATATGAGACACTTCTCAGGTGGAGATGTTTTCGCAAAATAAATTGATATCATTCAAGGCTTCAACAAAGCAACCAACTGCAGGGAATATAAATGAATTCACCTAAAGGACAGACAGTAACATAAATAATACATACAGTAGAATACACTAACTTACTTTTTTCTGCAAGGAGTTCCATGTATTAACTTAGTTTACACCTCTATAATAAAAGGATGCAATTTAAAGAGTCCTAACAAAAGACAGCAATGTACTGTTACAAGACCTGAATCACCCCTATGAACAGTTATTCTTGGATCAAAATGGCTTCTTAAGAGCAATTGATAGAAAAACAGGTCTAGTCTACATGCCAATACAGTATCACTAAGTTAACCACAGCAGTTTTCCTTTAAACATCAAGCATATGCACGCAAAAGAAGATTATCAATAGTGTTAAATAAAAATGCTAAATACATGATTAGCAGAGAAGGTGAAACTTTTGTCAAGTGTTTATCTTGTTAGTAGCTGGGGAACAGAAACATAATTAACATTTCAACAAACAATTGTGTTTAAGCTCCTATATATCAGCTCCATCTACTAACACAAAGGATACTCCGATTGTATTTGAAAATTTTTCTCTGAAAACACAAAAAGGGGTGGCAGCATGATACCAAATAAATGGATCAAATGCTCACGTTTAGACCCCAACAGGAGTAATCTGATTGTCCCAAAATGATATTAACAATTCGAAAAAGAAAATAAATAACAAGCATTGACAAACTACAGAACTTAAATTTCACCCTAAAAAGTGCTGAATGTTGCAACCAGCAAGACTCTATGAAGGAGCCAATGCCACCATCTTTTCACAATAATGCTTGCATTAGCTAAGCACAGACATGAAACAACCCAACATGCAATGATAAAAAATCCAAAATTCTCAAAACAGCATTAAAAAAAAACCGCAAGCTTGTAATAATAAAAAAAGAACCGTAAAAGCAGAAACAACCCATCAAAGAAAATTATCAAATTAAGGCAAGTTTGAAGCAGAAAAAGAAACAAATGTATAAAAAAGTACCAAGGGCTCGAAGCATCTTCAAATCAAATTTCTTGGCTAGCTGTACATGCCCAAGTACCCTTGCACGTTTCATGGCTAGCATCTTTAAGCTAATCAACAAATCCTGCAAATTGGGTTGAGATTGATTTGGGTTAATGCTCAATTTACATACAGATTCTCATTAAACAAAGAGAAAGAGACAGAGAAAAAGAAAACTCACAAGCTCGGATTCAGAAAGGGAACAAAGCCAACTGACATCTTCTATGCTATTATTTCCTAAAACTTCTTCTTCTTTCTCACCCATATAAATGGAAGGAAAAAATTTATTTATTTTGCGTTTAGAGTTACAATGGCACGAGTATGATGGAAAAGTTCGGCAAAGGTTTTTCGTTTCTTTTTCTGTATTCTTCCTTTCGTTGAAGCTTTATAAAACCCCTGCAGAGTCAAAAAGAGAATCCAAGAAGACGGCGTAGGTTTTTTCTCTCCTAATAGTTTCGGCCGAACAAAGAGGTTACTCGGGTTATGAAATTGGGCTTTGAGCCCATTAATGTCTCAATTGGATCTCCCAAAAGCATTTGTAATATTAATAATTTATAAGCAAATTTTTGAGTTGAATGTGATTTTTTTTGGTTTTTATTACAAGTGAAGACTTTTTTTTTTGGAAGAGGTATTACAAGCGAAGACTTTAAGAAGAAAAACCCATGTTTTTTTAGTGAATATATTAATGAATAAAAATAGCCAAAAGTAATAATCAAATGGTAACACATCATTTTATGAATGTTTTTGGTAATTTTATGTTATCCATTATAGAATAAAGTAATCCTTATGTTTCAAGTTGTTTAACTTTAACTTCTATATATGATTTTGAGCAGATATGCATATATATAGTCTTGGAACAAAGGTAACGTGAATATATTTACTTTCTTTTATTTATCTATTAATGGCTGAAATATAAAAGGAAAAGACAGAGACAAAGATCATTGCATAGAAAACAAAATTGATATTTTACATTCAAATCGTTGAATGAATTAAAGAATGAGGAAGTTTGATATCATTCCTCTAAAAGGCAAAAGCAAAAGGAAAGTAGTATTAGGAAAAGGGTACTGCTGGTCTTTCATGTTTATGTTGGGCTGCTTGTCAGAGATCATCTATAAATTGATAATTCTTTTGATGCAATTGTTCTTTGAATGACAAAACTTTTGCATCAACTCTTGCTGAAAAACCAATGTGAGTAGATCTCTGGGAGTTTCTTTGCTCCCTTAACCACATTTGATTATCTGTGACGATATCTCTCTTGAAGCAGTACTTCATTTCTTGGATGATATGATCGTCCATGGGATAAAATGATCTTTGAATGACAATGTGTGTGAAGTAAGGAAGAAGAGAAACAATGACGACGAGCAAGGTAACCATCCAATACAAGGGTGCTGGTCCAATATCTTCAATGAAGACCTGAAATGCGTTCCCTGATACATATGGAGGCAATGTACCATAGAGTATCAAGAAAATGTACCATAACAAGATGCTGCCCCATATGGAGAGATGTTGGATCCAAGTGAAGTGGCTTGTGATTAGAGCAATTTGACAATTGACTGTCCAGATTATGCAGGTGTATGTTATGGCACCAAGAGAATTGATATCTGCTACATATCCATTTTGTCGGAATGCACTAGGAGAAAGGATGTAAACGTTTGCCAGGAATATGACTAGAGAAGTTACCACCCCATTCAATATCCAGCCAATGATGCGGCTCCAGCTGAAGTGTACATTCCTTGGCCCTTGCTGGTAAAGGGCTGGAAACTGTTTCATTTCAGAAGAAACAGAAGCGTTAAGAGAAGCTTTTTTAGTCAAGAAAATCTGTTGATGTTTGTGAGATCAACCTTTTTGTGGCGGTAATTTTTTACTTTACCTGCAAGCATACATCTGATGAAACATCCTGTTCCAGGACTCCTATTGCGATGACAGGCAAGGATGTCAACATCACATTGAACATTGTCATATACCAATCATTGTACAAGACCTCCCCAGAGAAACTTGTGTATAATTCATAGTAGAATAGGGTGAGGCCAAATGCAACATTCTTGTAGACAAAGTACAGAACCTATAACAAGTCGGCATAAACATTAAGAAATACGTTATGTACATACATTAACCAAAATTTAATAGAAATTCAAGATTTACCATCTTTGCTATTCTCTGATAACACCAATGCCCATGAACTATAAGTAATCTCTCCAGGAATCGAAATTGAGGTAGTGAGAAGTCACTAGCCATGACTGCCTGTAAGTGATAATCCAAGAAAAAGAACTTTTAGCTCTAGTAGGAACTGCATCTTTGCATCTCTATTGCGCTTCATCCATATATCCTTTATATCCTTCTAGTATATTTTATTCTCGAGGAACACTTGTCACAGATTTTATGTTCACCAACCAAAGTTGATGACTGAAAATGGAACTTCAAATTAATGCTGAAGCCTAAAGATTCCTTGCGAATATTGATCAAAATGAATTCTGAAACATTACCTGCATTCCTTCCATACCACTGATCCCAACTCCAATATCAGCTTCTTGAATCATGCCAACATCATTTGCCCCATCTCCAATTGCAAGAGTTGTTCTGCCCGTATATTCCTTTACCAATCTAGTGATCTGTCATAGACAGGTTTAAGCTCTAATTAGAGAATATTATGAAGTGTAACTGATGAAAATCATATCATTTGAAGATGACTATTGAATTAGCTCCTAATTTAAAAATTATTCAAACAAAGCGCTTTCAGAAAGTAATAGCAAACAAAGACAAAAGCCATACCAGAGCTTTCTGTTTCGGGGACACTCGGCAGCATATGACAGAAGCACAATTAACAGCCAATTGTAAGAACTGATCCTTCACGTCCCCTCTCAAAGCAACTTCAAGAGCTTTTCCATCCACAATCAAAGCAAATGGAGCCTCTTTGTTTCTTTCTTCACACATGACTTTGTAAGAACTTTCAATTTGGTGCAAAATATCTACTTTCATAGCCTGCAAGGCTAGATAAAGGTGATGTTATTACCAACCCCAACTTTTACCAATTCCGTAGGACAGTGTATTAATTAGATATCGTTTAGATGAAGCCTCAGCAGCAAAATGTCATTCTAATAATACCATGAGCATTCTTTAGAATAAAATGCCTAGTGCCTACGAATGTGTAAAGTTGTACCAAAAATCAGATTTGAGTAGTGTTTCATATGGCTTGAGAGATTGCAATTGAAAGGTAACAAAAGCTGGTAGTGAAGAGGAAATTTTTGAAGTTTGGACAAAGATCAAAAGTGTCTATGTTATCTCTGTTTTCAGAATTGATATGAGGGTGATCACATACAATATGATATAACATAATGCCTGTTCAAGTTAACTTTTACCTTTACTTGGTTGTTAGACTCTGCTTCTCTGCTAAAACTCAAATGGAATTGTTTCATATCCTGACGGAGTAAGCTGCAAGCAAATCTGCCAAAATTGGGGAAAAGCAATAACAAATCAATGTAGTTAAGTAAGGCAAAGCAAAAAAACCAAACAAAGAAGTATTAGTACTAATATTCAATTTGATATGATACTTTATTTCTATCTAAATCAAAAGAATGCAGAAAGTTATGGAATTGTGATAAACCTCACCCTATATTTATTGCCGTCTCCCTCTTGTCACCAGTGAGCAGCCATATTTTCAACCCTGCTTGAGCAAGTTTATCTACACACTCTGGAACCTATAATGTTTGTAAATGAAATAAGCAGTGAGTTGCGGGGAACTCATGTTGAATTATGCAAACAAAATGCAGTTTTGAGTCTCAAAGAAATCTCTCCCTGGTAGATCAACTAGCAAAAGCAACAAGCAGAGCCCTGCAGATGGTCCATTGAAATTCACAGCACACACAACAATTAGAATCATAACAGTTTTCATTTTGCTTACATGCTGGAAAATCGGAGTTAGCCAACAAATTTTTATTACAAATGGAGTCCTAATATTCCTGTCACCTCTAGTGGCATTTTCTGATTGAGCAGTCAAAAAAGCTGTGTTCATAAATGACTAAAGAATTTAAATAACCACCAATTTAGGGGAAAAGTTTTAAATAATTTCAATGTCTCTTCAGAATTTAAGTGCTCTTAATAGGTGAAAACCACCTTCTGGCTTGTTTACTAGACCAATTGAATCGTCCTTTTTACTGAAGTTTTTCTGTGATCTACATAAATTAACGAGGTTTAAGCTCGAGAACATGCACGATAGAGGATAGCTGCAACCCCAAAATATAACTAGTACCAAGTTTTCAGTGGGTCAGATACTTTCTCCAGTTCTCTTCTCTTCAATACAAGCAGAAACTCATAGAGATGCTCACGAAAGAGGGAGATAACTAACCCCTTTTTGTAACTTGTCTTCAACTGCTGCGACCCCCAATAAGATTAAGTCCTTTTCTATCATTTCTGATGCTTTCTCTAGTAATTCTTCTCTTTCAGTACCAATTGTGGTTTTGGCTTGCGTAAATATAGTGTTCCAACATTCATACTCAGCTGCCTCAACTGTCCGGTAAGCCAATGCTAGAGTGCGAAGACCATCTTCTGCATAATTTGAAAGGTGCGAAGTTGTTGCTTGCTCGTAGGTCCTACCATTATCAGCTAGTCTATCGAAGATTGTGCTGAAATCCAACCAATAGAAAAAATATGAGATAAGAGACATTGATTTCAATTGAGTTGATCTTTAAGTTATGAAAATTCAATTATTAAAGCTAATCAACAAAATAGAGAAAGAAGATAATGTCATTAACTTAATTGTTAGTCACTATATTCTGTATGTAAAGTTGCTTTGGCATGGAAAATTGTTGTTGGAGTAACACTGCGAAATTCAACTGGAGTGAGAGATATACCTGTCTGCACCTTTGCAAAGTAGAAATATCTGACCATCTTCGTTGCTCACTATCACAGACATCCTCTTACGTGAACTACTGAACTCCAAAAGATTAAGTAGCTTGTACTCCCTGAAGATAACGTTGATATCATATTTAGGCATTACGATTTGAAAGATACTACTTCAAGCATAAGGAAATTTTCAGAAGCAAAGTAAATGTTGTAAAAACAAAAGTTACCTTTCCACCTCCATCCTAGAAGAGGGGTCAAACTCCTTAAGAACCATCACTGATTGTGTTCTTCTGAAAAATTGGAACCCAAACTCTTGCGAGGCAACGAGAAAAGCTACTTCTTCTGGTGACTCTGCTTCATACCTTAGCTTATTGATTTTATCATCTTCAATAGGTATGCCTGTATGACACAAAGCCATGACTCTAAAGAACATTGTAAATTCCAATAAACTGGATCCATGTATCCAGTTCTTGTTCAAAAGCCTGTCATCTCTAAAGTTGAAACCCTTGATAACAGATTCCTCCTCGGAAAGTCTTGAATTCCCTCTATTTGTATTATCCAGAACTTCTCGGCATCCGAGAACAGCCTTTTTAGCACTAAAATCGGATACTGGGAATTCAAATACTTCATAGCTTTGGCTTATTCCATCGGACTCATCAACACTGAACTGACAAGCATCAAAATCAACATTCATTCTTTTTGATGCAGCAAGGTCAACTTCAGTTACATCACCCCCATATGAAATTCCAGCAATTGAGCATTTCCTGAACTCCATCTGATTACATGTCAAAGTCCCAGTTTTATCAGACAGTATCATTTCTACCTGACCAAGTTCTTCATTTAAATTTGAAGTCCGGGCTTGAACTGACTTGCATGTTGCTTCATCATACATTTCTATATCCTTATTAATAAGCATTGCTTGTAAAACTTTGACAACTTCAACGGAGACATACAAAGAAATGGGGATTAAGTAGCCATACAATATGAGGGCCCGTATGAACTGTAAAATAGCAGAGTTTACTGGCTTTGATGGATTGAAGAACTTATCATTATCTTTTTGCCGGTTGGAGGCCTCAAGGTCATGGACCTTATTGTCATCTGGCAACTGCAGGTACCACCAATCAACCATGTCGTGCCTTATAAACAGCGAAGATCCAATGGAAGAAACCAAGGAAAGCAACAGAAGCATTGAAAAAAGAAGGTAGATAATGCGATCCATTATTCTCTCTATCCGGCTACGTTTAGATGGTGACCTTGTGGAGTTCTGAACTGCTTTCGTATCATGTCCACTAAAGATCACCACTCCATAAATGTAATCAGTGTTTCGGAGTTTTGAATCTCTTAAAAGCACTTGGGAAGGGCACAAGGGATAGGATCTATTCTCAAACTCTAAATTCCCCACAAAGGTGTAAAGATTAGGATTCGGATCCTCACAACGGACAATGGCCTTGAAATTCCTGAATTCTTCATCCTCATTCAAAGAAAGAGTGGCTTCTAAGCATCTTTTAATTTTCAGATTCGTTTCTCCATCAAGGTTCATGGTCTCTACATAACAAACACCATCCTCATAGCTGGAAGATATTAAAAGAAGATCACTTGGAAAATATTCATCTTTATTAACCTTTACAACATCTCCGACCCGAAGTTCCTTCCACAACTTATCTACAAATGCTCCATTGCTCGCATGAGCCTTTACAGTTCGATTGTTTACGTCCAAATCCTACAAGCAGTTTTCAAATAACATGATATATTCCACCAGAACAAAAATAACTAGGTAATTGTCAAGGACAGATATGGATGATGATAGAAAATTGTTCAGGAAGCTTATCAGACCAGATAATTTTCCAGAGAAATCAAGTGAAAGAATCTTTCAAATAAATAATAAAAATCCATAGTGGAGAAATCATGTAAAACTTCAAATGTTGGAAGAGTACGAAACAACAGATTAGGAGAGTTGAATAGAAACAAATATAGGCCTAAAAGAAGTGACATGTTTAGCTTGAAGTTACCTGCAAAAATCTATGCCAATCTTCCACAGCCTCTTTGAGCATGCTGATTCCCACCACAAACACCAAAGGAGCGATCAAACTTGCTCGTGAGAAAGGAGCCAAAGAAAGAAGCGACAGTACTGCTGCCAATAGAAAATAGAAATTGGCAACTCTTCTGAACTGCTCAAAAAGTGCTCTTGGAAGGAAAGTCAGAACGTTGTATTTAGTTGTGGATGTATAGTTGTGAGGGTACTTGAAAGGCTTTCTCTTGTGCAGGTGAGGTTCGTTGCAGAAAACTACCCGAGAAAATCCTGGCTGGCCGATGAGCTCTTGAGCGGAAGATGATTCGGATGTTGAGGGCCGCAAGCATGCAAAAGTATACAGTTTGCTCCATCTAACCTTCCCTTTCCTTCTCCTGGATGAGGCTGCCATCTTACCAAGTTCCCAAGTTCACCTCCCCTCTTCAACAATCTATCATTTCCTCAACTAAATGAAAAGGCTATGGAAATCATATTGACTGATTCATGATCTTATTGCCCAACCATGGGACGTTTGTTGCTCATCCCCCGACGGACCTGGCCCCTTCAACAAAGAAACCACAGATTCCAACCATTGTCATCGTAGATATGTATCTATCATGTACAATCAGGCATCAGACAACTAAACAATATTCATCGAAGTTTTGTCTTTTCTTAACCGTCCCAGCACTTATTTTTATGTAATTCTGTCTTTGTACTTTCTGAGAGAGAGAGACTTCCAATGCTGAACTTTGGACTTTCCTAGATCTAGCAGGCCTTCAATTAGCCGCGTTTCACGGATTAATAACATTTTCCTCCCTGATCCTAAGATTTGTCAGCCTTCCATGAGAGCCAGATATGCAAATCAATCTTACCTTTCAGTGTACTTCAAAATACCCCAAAAGGTAAAAAACACACGGTAACTGCATGTTCAAGGCAGCTAGTCAACTTGATTATATTGTATCAATTAGAATAGCATCTAGATTCGAGAATTGAATCTTGGGAAGGTTTTTACTCTTTTTTTTCCTTCAAACCAAAACCAGTTGGTCAACTTCAAGGTGTCCAAAGAGCATCTTACCGTGCACTGATTATTCATTACGAAAAAAGAAGAGCATAATTAAACCATCGTGCTGATGTGCCTCTAGATTCGAGTTTTTACATTCATAAAACGATCTATTTCATGTCTTATTACATTCTCTTTCTTGAATGTCAATCAACCCTTTTGGCCTCAAAGACAAATAATTCCATAGAATCATCCGTGTTTTATTATATTCATAAAATATCCTTGCTTTCATTCTAAATTATATATGTTACCCCGCCCAACCTCCAAAGCTGTTTAGTGGACAAAGAAATTCCGTTGTTAAGTAATGTACAAATCAAAGTAGACAAAGAAATCATCATAAACTGTGGCTCAGTGGACACATGGACAATACTAGAGTTGCTTCAGGATAATGGAAGAAATTTACGTCCCCTTAGTTGAAAACTAGAAATATTGAGACCCCACTGACCTCTCCCCAAAGAAAAAGGAAAAACAAAACAGAATACGGATTCCTAATAGGCCTCAGCAGCTGCATAAACTTGAAATGATCTATTGTTTAACTTTTCCACATTTCGAACCAAAAAAAATGTACTGTTTCTGGCAAAGAGACGACGACCGATTTGTTGGGAATAGAATTGAGAAGCAGTCAAAAGTGTAGAAAAGGGTAATCTTTTCAATTCATGTGTATTTATTATATCCAGGTTCATTCAATGCCGCTCTTGTCAAAGAGCTTTGCGAAGAGCCTAGACAAAAGATAAAAGGGAAGCTTTTGCGTAGAGCTTGCCGAATTTCTAAAAACCTCAACAATTAGTTAAACAAGTAAACAGACTTTGAGTGTAACGGTTATATATTAAATTAATGATATTAAGTACCAATGCAACTAAAACCTCCATGGGAAATAGACGAAGACACAAGGCAGCAAGGTGATGACTGATGAGTAGTCAAACCAATTGGTCCCAACATAAATGTATGATAAATTTATTGACGGATTCTAACTTTATTGCATGGATAACTAAACAAGGACATCTGGATAGAGCGATTGCAGCTAGGTAAGCCGGCTTCTATGTAAGCATCTAATGCCGCTGCAATAGGAAATAAAGTTACGAATTTGTAGATACTCTTGGCCTTGAGCTATGGATGGCCATGGTGGCATGCGCTCTTTGGAAACATGTTGTTGATGTCATTGACATGCTGAAAGACTTCTCAAGTAAGAGAAAAAAAATTCATATGGGAAATACGACCAAATACCTTCTACACTAACTGATTATAATTGTGAAATGATGATATATATTTTTCAAAATAATAATCTCAATAAATTAATACCCTTAGAGCATTTGTAATTTGTTATAGTAATTAAGACCCAGAAATAATATCTTATCCCATTCATTGTACTTAATGCACAAAACAGCTTCTCCATAAGCGATTTAATTAGGAAATGCCCTTTTAAGCATCAGATGTTTATTTATTGCAAGAGTTGCAACAATTGATTATTGAAGGAAGTAATCTTTGCTTACTAGATTTAGCACCAAATGATGTTTTAGCAGCATCGAGGTAACATTTCCAAATTAACCATTAACCATAATGTCCCCTTGGGAACTTTAAATCAGATATATAGCAGAATAAAGCTATATTTTCTACTACCTGATCAGCAGTAATTAATGTCACACCGCAAAAGAACAATTTGTTATAAATCCAGTATCGAACAGATCAAACAATAACAATCCCAAACTACAAAGTACCGACATTATCCATCATGTGCTTTTAAGTCATCACCTGACTTAGGTAATATTACTCACCTAAAACAGAAGTCAGTTGCCAACGCTTGAAGAAGAACCCATGTACAAATTTTTATCTCAAGTAAAAGTAATGTTGTATACCTATTATAAGACAGTATAGAATTTACATTGAAGTTCAAATTAAGCATAAGCACAAACTCATTTAATAGAACATTGGTTATATCTACATTGCTTAAATACATCAAAGATCACAAACCATAGATCCCAGTGTGTTCAGTTTAACAAGATAAAAAATGCACTTTCAATATATGGCTGCTATCAATGTCCTTGTGCTTGATTTGGCTTATGCAATTAAGGCCACATGATGCATGACATTGAAGCCATTCAGCTTTAGAGTTCTACAAGAATGCCACACATATGGTATTCTAGCTGACCAAGATCTGATTTGACATTGAAGGAAGGTATTTCATCCATAAATTGCCATGAGATGACTCTGGGACGGTGTCATTTCTAAATTCAGAGCAAACAAGCTTTGGCCCATCATAATGAATGACCATACTCTTTTCTGTGATTTCTAGTGATGCTGGCTCCTTCACCAACCAGGAATTTGAAAGCTTCAGATATCTGTTGTAGAGTGCTAATGCTATTGCCGGATTTCTTTTACTGCTCCTGCATATTATAAACACACAAAAGGTAAAACTAAAACAATCTTTGAAGAAAATAACTAAGTAATGATAGCATCTTTTATGAAGAATTTTATGGCAGATCACCGCCAATTGTAAATATTATCATTAGTAGTAACCAGCAGAAGGGAAGAGTAAGAAACCTGTCACTCCAATTCAGAACTTTACTCCACCATAAGACAGCCTCCAAAGACTCCTTCTGCAATTTCCTTGCATCAATCAAAAGCAAACTTAAGTCAGGCATACATGCATCCTTCTCATAAGGTGTCACCGATACCCATGGCTTTGAGGCCGATCTTTGAATAGCATCTAAAACATCTGAGTTCACGTAGCTGTTCAGCCTTTTAGAGCAGTCCTCAGCAGCCGCAATAGCATGGGTGCTTAAGTCAATTCCAGTCAGTTCTTCTACTTTTCCCTGCGATACAAGCAGAGTATGATAAAAACAAATACCAAGAAAATGCCATCCCAATAAGAAAATAGCAAATTGATACTGATTTGTGAGGGAGATTTTCCCACTTAATGTAATTATGTTCAACCACAAATACCATCAGATGACATAAATTAATTGACTATCAAACCCTGTAAGCATGTAACTGCCCTTCTGGGTAAGTTAAGCACCGAACAGCTAAAATATGGTTAGAGACAACATAGAATTTATTTCTAGTGCATAAGAATGCCATCACATGTGAAAGTGTTTCAATGTTGCAAACAGGGAGAGAAGATGCTCAGAAAGAGACTTCAGAAATTAAGTAATTTGTTCGCAAGTAAATTAAGATGGGAAAGAAGGAACCAACCTTCAATATTAGATCGGGTGAAACATATATGAATTTTCTCAGTGACTGGTGGACACTTGGTATAACAAAAGGTGCTATTTCCGCAAAATTGAAACTGGCATATTCTGCCTCAGAAGTTGCAATCCTAATTATGTCTTTCACTTCCTCTTGCCTACATTTTGATAATAACATCAATAAGAATCAAGAGATGGACTTTGCAAGTGTGTATAAAACAAAAAAACCAATATCTTACCCATGAAGTTCAAGGTTTGAATCTGGAAATAATACTTTCAACTTATAAAAGGAAACTTTGTCTTTATTCCCTTCGGGTGTAAAGAAATGAAACTGAACTAGGTCTGGATATCTGGATATTAAGCAAGCATAGAAAAATGAGTAAGCAAAAGCAGAACAGTTGGTATTAACCATCAGTGTATGTCCACCAATTTTAATAGGATTGCAATAAGCACACAACTTCAATTGTATCCAAGGGATCTTACATGAGCAAATTCTGATCATTATAATCAATCATGGTCTTGCAGATTTTGAGTAAAGTTAAGCCTCAAATGTTGAAGTCAAAATCTTTATGGTAACAAAAAAATTAAAAAAAAACAAAACGAAGAAGGGGAAACGCCTATTGCTTATTTAAAATGCATAACACTGCATTGCTCTAAGGATCATTCAATGGTCATATGAAATTCAAAATTAATGTTGGCACCCCAAAAAGCCAAGAGAGTTGAAACCAGGGCAACTTTGATACCTTGAACTCGAAAGAGTTGAGTTGGCAAGAACCGCCAGCACTTTAAGGTCCAAACATTCCATCCATGAAACAACATGTACCATACCGTCCTCTTCATAGCTTCCTTCACTCTTTGACTATTTTGATAATATTGAGAAAAAAAAAAGAAAGAAAGGAAACAGAAAAAACGTTGGGATTTATAATTATTGACAGGAAGAACAAGAACCGAAAAGAGAAAATTGGACTTACAGTCGAAGAAGGAGAGGAGTGGGGGTTAAGCGGGACCCAGTTTCTGAGAGGGTCCGAGGGGTGGCGGAAATGGGAAGCGGGTAAGAATTGGAGGAGGCCGAGAAATATGATGAGCCCAAACGCGAGCAAGCGAATGATGGGTTTTGGACTCGGAGCCGGACCTAGGTCGGGAAAGATGAGTCCAGGATTCCTGGAATTGTCAGTGGGTTGAGTTGGTCTCCTGTTAGAGGCAGAAGATCTCCACGGCGTGTACGAGGAAGACATTGACTTTTGCTTTCCAACTTTTTGTATATTTGTTTACCAACTCTGCCACTCTTTGAAATCCCCGAA